AAAAATATGTGTAGACGGAAACGTCAGTTGTTTAATAGAAAATATCTGCATAAAGTAGAGAGTTCTGTAAATAATTCCAAAAAGTTTTGGTCTGAAGTTAAAAAGTTTTTAAACAAACCGAAACCATTATGTAATATTTCACTTGACGTTTGGTTTGAACATTTTAGTTCATTATTTTCAAATAATGAGAATGAATATGATATAAATGACATAAGGGATGATAATTGTAATGTAAGTGTAAACTTTGATGAAATTGAAGAACTTATTTTTAATTCTAATATCACAGACGAGGAAATTTTACAAGGTATAAAATATTTGGACATTAATAAATCTCATAGTGGCAAGATTATACCCCAACAACTAGTTTACGGCGTTAATGTTTTATTACCTTTTATTCGTAACCTTTTTCAAAGATTATATTCACGTGGTGAATTCCCTGATTGTTGGGCAAAATCAGTCATTATACCTTTACACAAAAAAGGAAGTTTGAATAACCCAAATAATTATAGGGGCATAGCATTATTAGAGGTGTTTAGTAAGGTTTATATATCAATAATTACTAAAAGATTAACATTCTATGTTGAGGCTTACAGTAAGCTCTCAGAAGCTCAAGCTGGATTTAGAGCTGGATACACTACAGTTGATAATGCTTTTGTTTTATATTCTATTGTTAATAAATATTTAAATATGAAAGGAAAATCAGTATATGTAGCTTTTGTAGATTTCCAAAAAGCTTTTGACTCAGTAGATAGAGGTTTATTGTTTGAGATTTTAAAAATAAATGGAATAAAAGGTCACTTATTTGAGGCAGTACATCAAATTTATTCGTCAGTTAAAGCATGTGTTAGATCAAATGAGGGGGTAACTGATCTATTTTCTTGTCCAGTTGGACTCCGTCAGGGATGTAGTTTAAGTCCGGTATTATTTGCAATGTTCATAAATGAATTACAGTCATTGTAACAAAATACTAATGTAAGAGGAATCCAGTTATTTCCTTATGCTGTTGAAATATTTATATTGCTATTTGGTGATGATATTGCTTTAATGTCAGATACAGTTGCTATTTTGTAAACAAAGTGAACTAATTGTTAATATTACAAAAACTTATATATTAGTGCTTAAACGTGTTGGTCAAAAAGCTAAAAGTGAAAAATGGACGTAATATATGGTAGTCAATTTGAAATTGTTAATGGGTTCACATATGTTGGAATATATTTCTCAAACAGATTGTCTTTATATAAAATGGCCGAAGTCATGTCTAACAAGGCCAAAAAGGTACTTCTGTATATTTTAAATTCTTTTCAGCAAATGTCATGTTTGCCATATAAAACGTTTTTTGCAATTTTTGACTCTAAAGTCGCATCTGTAATGTTATATGGGTCGGAAATATGGGGCCTAAAAAGACCAAACTGTATAGAGTCGCTGCAAGTATATGCATGTAAAAGATTTCTAAATGTAAATAAATCAGCTTGTAATGATGCTGTACTTGGTGATACAGGGAGATTTCCTATGAGCGTGTATGCATCTAAACAGTGCATTAAATATTGGATTAGGTTATTAAATCTACCTAGACATAGATATGCCTGACTCAATGAAATGATTGTTTTCTTTGATAATTTTTAGGATACTACAAATGGGCTAGCGATATAAGACTGCTTTTATATGAAAATGGTTTTGGCTATGTGTGGGAAGCTCCAAAACTATTTTTAATTCAATATGTTCACAAACTAAAATATCAGTCAATGCAATATTGGTCTGCTAGATGTACTGAAACAAGTAAATTGTTTCATTATTTAAACTTTAAGCAGTGTTTTGGGCTGTAAAATATATTAAAGTTATTTTGTGATAAATTTAGGAAGTGTCTAGCAAATTTCCGATGTTCAACACATTACCTTATGATTGAAAAGAGAAGGCATTGTTACAATGACAAAGAATAGTGTGTATGCATTTATTGTGAAACTACTATTGAAAACGAATTTCATTTTATGATTGTATGTCCTTTATATGCTAATCTTCGTTCAAAATATTTGCCAGATTATTATTTTCGTTATCCAAATATACAAAAATTTTATGATTTAATGTCAAGTGAAAATGTAGATATAATACGAAATGTATCAATGTACATTTATTATTCTTTTAAAGAGAGAGAAGAATTTATCAGTATGTCTGAATAGTGTTATATGTACACACATAATTAATAAGTTTTTTAAATATCATATTGTACAGTCTGATCATAACCACATGCAATGTATGTATTATATATGTGATGTTGTATAAATTGTGTTTGGGCCGGAGGCCATATATACAAATAAACGAATTGAATTGAATTGAATTGAAGTCGATCTCACTTGTGCAATATCGTGAACACTTATCACTTGTTCTTTGTTGTACTTGTCCGATTGTTTTGTTTGTTGTATATGTTTCTATATGAGAGAGATATCCATTGGTTCTTTTAAATATTCTTTACTTCTGCGCACTGTTTGCTTTTCCTGTCCCGCTCAATATTTACAGTCATTGTTTAGTAAAACTAGTTAATTTTACATTAGATCTACATTTAATTTAATTATTTCAATTTATATTGAAATAGTTTAATTTCTATAAATAAATACCTTCATACCGACGCTGTAATGAGAAATAGCATTAAAATCAAGATATATTTTTGTATTTTCTTCTTCTGCGTCGATTGTGTATATATTGTTATTTCATTGTATTTTGTTTTTATATGTACTGTACTTGTAAGATGTATAATCATTTTATTTTATTACATGCTTTTCGGTGGTTTATAGAAATATATCAGTGATTTAAAACTGGTAATTTCACTGTTTGAAACAGTGAAATTACCACTTTGATAATTTCACTGTTTTGAATTTAAGCCCTTTACGTTGTTTCAGTGAAATACCAGCGTGCACAGTACTGGGTACCAACTTAATATGACGTGACGTCGTAAATAACGTGACGTTGTATTATCATTTGGCGCGCTTTTCATTCAGAATTAGGTTTAATGTCTTTTTAAAACGTTTCTTTGCATATAATAACAAGAAAATTTGTTTAGTTTAGTGTAAGATCGAAATATATTACTTGTGAACACCAAAAGTTTATATTTCACTCGTGGCTGCGCCACTCGTGAAATATACCTTTTGGTGCTCACTCGGTGAAATATATTTCGATCTTACACTGAACTAAACAAATATCCTCTATTTATATTTTTAGACCAATTTTACTCTGATTAATAAACATAACATCGAACCTACGCCCAGAGTTTGTTCTGTACTATCCAGTGTGGAAATATTTTACCCTGCGACATTTGTCACGTTTTACATATTTCTTCTGACACCAATATACGAACGATCTCAAAACAGTTTGGTATTTACCAGTTTTTTTTTAAACTTTATATTTATAATAATGACCGTACATGTGTCGTTCAGCACTAAAAGCAGATAAGCATTTGCTGGACCGCGTCAGCGCCAAACACCATCATTTTTATTGTACTTATATGGATACTGTATATATTAAAAGATGCACTATAAAATATATGTCTTTTGATTTCCTTGAAATTTTGCCATATAACAGCAGACACACTGAAAATGTCAAGGGTAGAATATGTACGCTATTGTATGCAATGAATGTATAATGTTTTTTTTTTATTTTACTACAAATTGATGAAGATAAACTTGTGATAAATTACTTTAGGCTTGGGCGTCGCATTTTTGTTTTACAGCCATTGTCCATGGATGGCTTTGTGGGACAGCCCTTATATGTTATATCAAGAGCTTACAGTGTTTACTTACTAAGACTAAGTTTATATAACATCGTGATTCTCCATTTAAAAGTGATGTTAAAAGATGCTATATTATAGTATTTATTGAGTTAATTTTTTTGACAGGTTATATAGAGCTTACAGTGTTTACTTACTAAGACTAAGTTTATATAACATCGTGATTATCCATCTAAAAGTGATGTTAAAAGATGCTATATTATAGTATTTATTGAGTAATTTTTTTTTTGACAGGTTATATAGAGCTTACAGTGTTTACTTACTAAGACTAAGTTTATATAACATCGTGATTATCCATTTAAAAGTGATGTTTAAAGATGCTATATTATAGTATTTATTGAGTCATAATTTTTTTTGACAGGTTATATGGCCGTACATACACTGTTGTTTTGCAATATAACCTACACTCAGCCATTCAGGTTAAATACCCTAACCCTTTTTACTAAGTCAAGGGCAATAACTCTACAAATACTAAAAACATCCACACGAAATACCAAGCTGCACAACTACACATGCTGAGTAACATTCATGTAGTTTCATGCCTCTAGGTCAAATGCTTTTTGAGCTACATGCGACACAAATGCATCCACTTTACGAGCTCAAAAGTTGACCGCAGTTAACAAGTACGGTCAACTGGGCAAAAAGGTGAAAAATCACTGCTTTAAAATAGAAAGACCCTGAAATAAAATATCAAACTTATCAGTTTGTGGAACTCAGCTCGTGTAAACATCAACAAAATAACTCATTTCTCTCATGCCCTGTTTAAAAATGTTGCAAATTATATTGGAATAATATGCATAGAGTTGAATGTTATAACTGTAAGGCATTCGCAATGGAGAGCCATTATCTCCTTTCTTGTTTATATATTTCTATCAATTATATGTATGACTTTTATACGAGGACAATGCTGATGTTTTATTTTTTGAAGATTTGAAAGTGTTTATTATTAGTGTTTGCTGGTGATTCTGTTTAATATTGTTTACATGTACAAAAGAAGGATTTCAAGTATTATAAGATTATACAACATTTATACTGTCAAAAACTGGAGGAATAATCATAACCCCACCAAGTCAGCCCTCAAATGTTGTTCTTCATGAAACGGCGGCACATGTATTTATAAAATATGTAAAAAAAATTTACTCTTAAAATACACTCTTTTAATATTTAAGGATAGATTATTTTGCACTGAAAGTGCAGATGAACGCTACATTCTCAAGTAACCATAGTGAACTATATATATAGGGTCTGTTGAGTGACACACATGGTGCACCACAGATAAAGGGTCACATTTTAAAGATAAGAACGGATTTTTAACGGACTTGTAGTAAATTGCTTCAAATTTATAACATTTTTGTTATTTTGAAGGTAAGTTCATATAGATTTCGACGAATAAAAAACTGGTCATTTGACCTTTCTTATGTGGTATCTTTTCTAGTTCTAGCTTCCAAAACTTTATAAGCCGGCTTTTAACATTTTTTTCTTTCGTTTTTTTTTCATGAAATATTGTTTGATTAAAAAAACACGGAACGCTTTTTCTAACACTAAGGTTGTTTTTATGCTAGGACATTTGACATATCTCTTAATACATTCAAATTTATTTATGAAATGTATTAGTTTACCGTAACATTGGTTTATTACAGACCGTTTCAATTTATGTGAAGGACAGTTGACCATGTACCCATTACTAATGGTATTTATGTTTCGTATAACATCATACGTTATATATGTTTAATTATTATATATTTTAAACATAATTTTCGGTCTTAAACACATAAGTTAATATTTAATGTACATTGTATAAAAAAGTCATCGATCTCTATTTTAATACATATCATGGCATTGAAAATTTACGTTTTATGATTATTATATTTGTCAATATCATGAATCATATATGTTACATATAATGCTTAACAAAATACACATATCACATGTACATGTATATTATTTAAAGATATCACTTTATTTATCAGCGTGCACTATTGTCGTGTTGGTGTGTGGTGATGTCAGCCGGTTTCATAATTGATACTGACCCTTGTCCTGCGCCCTCACCGTGTCGATGTTACAGTTCTAGAATCGACTGTGCTTACAAACGTTTGACGAGTTTTCCCGTTCTCAAATTTTCACAGAGGCATTACCGAGAGCTTGAAATATTGTTACAAAGAAACATTATCGAAAGTATACCTGACAACGCCTTTGGAAACATCATTTCTGCAACACCAGAATCAGTGGAAATCCATTTGAATAAGAATAGAATACACAATATATCTAGAAATGCTTTTGCAAATTTTGGTGACAGCAAAGTGACCATTGAGCTTTCAGAAAACCGGCTTACTGTACTCCCATACGCCCTGTCGATGGTGAAAAACCTTAATACACTACGGTTGCTTGGTAATAACTTTATATATATCGATGATACGGTGATGTCATCCCTTGGGAAAACGGTGGAAACATTTTGGCTTGACATGTCTTCGGTAGCTATCTGGCCTCAATCCTTTTCAAGTTTTCAAAAATTGACCTCACTTTGGATTGATTACATTCCATTTCATACTCTTCCTTCCAACAGCTTTGAAGGTCTCCGGAAGCTTTTTCAACTTGAGATTTCCAACTCTAAACTTCAGTCTGTTCCTGACGCAATTTGTCGTCTGCCTCAGCTACAGCAGTTTAGGTTTAATCATAATATATACATGCTGAACAGTTTGACACACATTCTTACTGTTTGCAAGCAACCCTTACACAACGCTTCTCTTGCCTATTTCAACAACAACAACATGTTTTCTTTTCCAGAAAACGTTTTCTTAGTGTTTCCAAGAATACGCTCGCTTAATCTCAGTTTTAACTATCTGAACAGCATCACTTCATCGGCTATTCCGGAAAATTGCACTCTTTATTATCTTTACCTTTCAAACAATGAATTTACAAGTATACCACTGGCAGTGTCCAAAATGCCTGAGCTTATTACTCTTGTTATCAGTAATAACAGGATAACCTCAGTAGATGGTCGTGTATTGTCGTCATTGCAGAACTTTCGCCAGCTGACCATCAGTAACAATCCTCTAATCTTCATAGACCCTCACGCTTTCAGTACAAGCTTAACATTGAAGAACCTTTATGTTGAACATACGAATATTACGTCAGTTCCGGCGGCAATTTTACACTCGAATGAAAGATCAGCGATAGATCTGACAGGATCACCTGTTCAATGTAACTGCAACAATATGGCATTTTTGAATTCGCTATCCAAAAGTGATGTAGAATCAGGGAAGAAATTCTTCAGAGGAGACTGCGTGAACGCAAATATGACAATCAAATCTTACATTCTAAATGTTCTCCCAAACTGTTTCTGATATGTCATATTATATCATTAAACATAAAAATCTGAAGTTTCTGTATAATATAACACCATGGTCATGGCTGTCCCATAACGCAGCAATGTGAAAATAACGCAGGAATTGTGCAAAAGTAGCGTCGAATCGTCCAAAACTAGCAGTACCCCGAGCGACAATGTGACATCGCAACAACACAACGCACGACAACGCGCCGTTTGGCGCGCATCGTCAGCGACAGGACGACAGTGCAACAACGCGCCGTTAATGATATAGGTTGTGTTGTCGATAGCGACAATACAACCTATATCGTTATCGCCTTTTCGTCTAGTCGCTATAGCGAAACAAGCCAAACGGCGCGTTGTTGCACTGTCGCCTTGTCGTCCTATCGCTAGCGAAGAACGCCCAACGGCGAGTTGTCGTGCTGCGCGATGTGGCCCTGTCGCTTGGCTTATATATATATAAATAGCAAATCCTTCGATTTGAGCCACACAACACGTCACACGACAACGCGCTGTTTGACGCGCATTGTTAGTGATAGGACGACAAGACGAAAGTCCAATAACGCGCCGTTTGGCGCTTTGTCGTGCTATCGCTAGCGACAACACGACGCACACATGTGTTCCAATTAAGCCACCATAGGTAGGTACCCATTAGTTCTAAACAGAAAAGTTCGAATTGTTAAATTTTGGTTGAAGCTATTACACAACGAACAACGGAACAGTATAGTCTGGAATATATAAATCAATGTTGCAAACAGCTGGAAATGGGCAGCAAAACTAGGCTGCCAAAGTGAAGAAACTACTAGATGAATGTGGCTTTGGAGAAGTATGGCTGTATCTATGGTTGCTGATTTGTGCCATTCGTGTTTTCGCCCCGCGACCCCGCCAAGCGAAAATTAACAAGTTAAAATTATTTATTAATGTTCGCCCCGCGCCCCCGCTAATTAGCGTGATTTCGTCCTGCGACCCGCCGTTTTATTTCTTAAATCTCGTCCCGGGCCCCCGCGGGGCGAAGTTTTATTTTTTAAACTTCGCCCCGCGCCCTCGCTAATAAGCGTGTTTTTGTCCCGCGACCCCGCCGTTTTAACTTGTTTATTCTCGACTTTTCGCTTGGCGGGGTCGCGGGGCGAAAACACGAATGGCACAAATCAGCCACCATATGTATCCGCGTTCGGTAGATATAAACCCATTTATACCATTATTCAAACGAAGATACTAAGTACGTTACTGAATGGAGAGTGTGTACACGAAGTAGCCATTGTATCATGTTGTTCAATAATATTTATCAAGCAGAAATGGTAGAATATTTAACATTGATCGAAATGAAAAATATAGACATTTATTTAATTTTACCCATGAAATATGGTGCTTTATTTAATTTTACCCATGAAATATGGTGCTATATCAGTCAAATATATTTCATATTTTTTAAAAATAAATATGAAATATAAATATGAAAGTGGGCGGAGTCAAAACTCATATTTATTTTTGGGGACTTCTTTCGCCATTTTGTTTGAAAAATCTGAGAAACACAAAACAAGTTTTTGTTTAATTTTGGTTTTGAAAAATATATAGAATGATAGAAAATGGTCTAAAGCCTCGGTCTCACTTACTCCCGGCAGAGCCCAGGACCATCCCGGTAAGTTACCGGGATGATCCGGGACGATCCGGGATGAAATTATTGTTGCGGTCACACTTACCCCGGCAGCACTACAAGAGTTCCCTACTAACCACCCAGGATGCGCTCCGGATCATCCAGGCAGAGCCCAGGTGAAGCTACGGCTCATGCCGGTGCTTCCCCGGTCGTTCCCGGATGACGCCGGAAGAACCCCGGTTGACCCAGGCAGAGCCCCGGTCGATCCAGGCAGAGCCCCGGCAGAGCCCAGGACGATCCAGGCAGAGCCCCGGTAGAACCCCGGTGGATTGAAAACGCCCGAAAATGATAACTTTGATACATAATTTTTATTTAATACAATATTTATTGTTCCAGAATAGTAATTCATGATGATTTTCTGAAAAATCCTTATGCCATACTGGATAGAAGGGAAATGGGAAGGCTTTTAATACAAACAAGTTCAATCATCACAAATTGTCCTTATTTTTTTTAAATGATCCGGGCTTTGCCGGGGCTCTATCGGGGCTCTACCGGGATCAACCGTAGCTCTACCTTTATCCTCCGGGGCTCTGCCTGTAGTTACCGGGGCTCTGCCGGCATATACCGGGGCTCTACCGTAGCTCTACCGTAGCTCTACCGGCTATATCATACCCCGGATCATCCCCGGTTTGTGCCGGCAGAGCTACGGTGCTTTCCCGGTATCACCCCGGTCGTTCCCGGCAGAGCTAAGGATGATGCCGGCAAAGCTATACCTTCCCGGATCATCCCGGACCACCCCGGTGATATTAAATATTTTATTCCATCCGGGGTCGAATGCCGGATGTTCCCGGATCATCCAGGACGTTGCCGGCAGAGTTACGGATGTACCCCGGTTGTTCCCGGTCGTACCCCGGTCGTTCCCGGATCACCCCGGACGTCTACCGGGGCTCTGCCGGGGCTCTGCCGGGATGTAAGTGAGACTGTAGCTTAACTAAGAAAATAAATCCGAACACCAATATCTTTAATTCAGTTATTAACTACATGACGTCACAATGTAGCGCCAAATATCGCGTGCAAAAAAGACGCAATAATATATTACTGCGCGCTGTACACAGATGCGTAGCAAGCAATGGGGTTCGTAACCATTTTTCTGTGATAATGAAATTAAATAAAAAGGTTAGTTTTTCGTTTTTCGTGAAATATGGTATATATTTTCACTCAACATGATAAAATGCCACATATTTACACTCGCCGTCCCGGCTCGTGAAAATATGTGGCATTATATCAAGTTTCGTGAAAATATATTCCATATTTCACTCAAATGAAAAAATATCCTCTTTGTATAACTACAAAAATAAGGTTGTCTTCTCATTGCCTGCAAGTTGAACACGATAGGCATAGGAATATTCCAGTGCAAATTATGTCTTCCACGAACAACAGAAGAATCCCATTTCATATTAGAAGGCCCAGTGTATCATTAGAATCCAGTATTTATAAACAACATTGGTATAGAACAAGGCCAAATATGATTAAATTCATTGATTTATTATCTTTCAGTGATGTGCATATTTTATAAAGACTGGCAAAATATTTAATCAAAGCATTTGAAGGAAGAAAGACTCTCTTAAACACAAACTAGATACTTAAAATACTGAATTCAAATACATGTATTTTGTGATACGGTTTGTATCATATAACCATTACCATATCTCACATTTTCATTATCATAATGTGAGATATCAAAGCCGAATTTCTCAATTTTAACAAATATGTAGACAATGTATGTATCTTTGTTACATATACTTTTTATATATGCATTTAAAATCTTATTGTTTAATCAATAACTGAGCCGTGCCATGACAAAATCAACATAGTGCGTTTGCGACCAGCATGGATCCAGACCAGCCTGCGCATCCGCGCAGTCTGATCAGGATCCATGCTGTTCGCTTACAAACCCTATTACAAGTAGAGAAACTGATAGCGAACAGCATGGATCCTGATCAGACTGCGCGGAGGCGCAGGCTGGTCTGGGATCCAGGCTGGTCGCAAACCCACTATATGTTGGTTTTGTTGTGACGCGGCTCATATGCTGTTCGCATACGATTGATTAATAAACTTATGTATATTTAACAGTTGTGTTATGATAATGAAGGTACAGCAATATAAAAAAGTTAATTTAAAGCTGCAACCAGACATGATGACTATGTGAAGACAATAGAAAAACAAATTAGCACAAATTTGACGGTCCTATGTTAATTTATATAGCGATTTTCAGCAACTGATTGTATCGCATCTGAACGACCTAACGCCAAGAAGAGTACAATCTGATCAAAAGAACACGTTTATCCTAGCATTCGACACATTTGTGTTGTTTCTATTTTACTTAAAAAGTGAGCATAATTAACTCCTTGTAAATCGGTAATGGATGATAATTTTAACATCTTAACATTTTCGATTTTTAATCGGTTAGGTTATTAATATTAAAGTAAACTTATTGTTCGAAATTTTTTTATCCAATATATAATTGCAGTACTCATTTCAGATGAATAACATATTTTATTATATTCTTATAAATAAGATATTGAGTAATATTGATAAAATAAAATGCGTTTATCCATTTTCCGTATTTTCACTGTAAAAAATTATTTTTCACTGCAGTGAAACATGTTTTCCGTATTATTACTGGTGTTTTGTCTGACTACTTTTTTCTAAATTCAGCCATTACACAAAATTTAAGGGGAAATCTTTCTAATTGTAATATCAAAAAGAAAAATTTATATAATAAACAGTAAATAATCAAGTTCCTTTTCTATGAATACAGGATTAATTTTCATCTTGTGGAATGGAAATTATCACGTTTCACTCGTGGCTACCGCCACTCATGAAAATTTATTTTCATACCACACGATGGAAATAAATCCTGTATTTATAGAAAAAAACTTGAATATCCTCTTATAGTATAGGTTAAAGTTTATTATAGTACGTATTTGCAAAATTAAATTGGTCAGGCGCGGCACGGCCGCGCGATGTATATACGTACTATAGTTTGTCCCACCAATTTTGAATATTCCATTCTTTTTAATATAACAGTAAAATAATTTAAATTAATGTCATGTTAAGCCTGACGTCAATATCTCTAGGCATGTTTTTCCTTTTTTTCATAAAGTCAGTAATATGGTCAAAATGTTAAAATTATATTTTTCCCGTTGACTTACGTTGTTACCTGACGTGACGTCCATTTCAAAATGGCGGCGCCCATACTGACGTCATTTGGGGCTCGTCTCACAATTAGCGTGAAAGGTACTCGATAATGATAAAAATTTGATTACTCTTTGAAACGCCGCCACAACAGCATTTCAAACACAATTATAACAACTTAACGTTTTCTGGAAACTTTAATCAAATCTACATGGCATAGCATTCTCCGAATTTCGATATTTGGTGTAGAGTTTACAAAATATATAAAAAATCAAAACACTTGACACTTGATTTTAGCGACATGCACTAGCTCGGAAGTAGCGATAGAGCGATTTACCGTATACCTCCGAAAGAGGTAGCTCTGTCATTTACCAGGCGTGAATAAGGGACATTAAGTCACAAGTGGTTTTTTTTGTAGACTCAAAGTGTTACATATTATGTTAATATGGAGGGGGGATCGAGTCAAAGAGAAACACCGAGTGACGTCCTCAATAATTTTAGCCTTCCTTAAATTTGAAAATATTCAGTGAAAAAACAATAGCATATTTTTCGCGAGAGAAAAAATACCGCGTATCGTATATTTTGTAGCTAGATCTTAAAGAGTAGTATTTACAGAAGTCTTGAATAACGAGATAATATATCGGGAAATCATTTCTGAGAAATATTTAAAATAGTTTAAAAACATAAAATCAAAACGAAGGTTATATGTGAATTAACTGTTATTGATTCATGTTATTAAGTGTAGTTAAAATCATTTAAATGTGATCAAAAGTTTTATTGTTAATACAGTACTGTATATGAATTGAAGGTGTAATTTTAACAGTTTTTGCAAAATCTGGGTAAACAAAAATTATTTTAAACGCCATCAATACAAATTTATCTCAACGCTTAAAATTATCTGTACTGTATGAGGTTACATATGCCTAACCGCCCTCTGTCAATGCCGCAACTGGAATCATCCATAAAAAGCGCGAGGCATTTTTGTTACGTCATATATTTCGTAAATTATTGTTGACGTAATAAAGTTTTTTTCGTCAGGACAGGAATCCATTTTCAAGAGTTCATTGAGATGTTGACAACTAAAAATTGTTGGGCGTTCTTGAATTATGGATTTGGAACATACTGAATTATGATGTGTCTCATTTACATATTTCGTTTGCTAACCCAAATAACTCCACAAATAGTACAATGTTTTAATAATGAGATTAACAGTTTAGAGATTGAGACATGTCATTCAGGAATTTTTTTGAATTAAAAAATGGGATCTAAGGAACTGGATAAACTGGCAATGAAGGAATCTTCAGAATGCGAATTTGTCGTGACGGTTAGAAAGATCTATTTTGAAATTCATAGGGATTCTTTTCAGCTTAAAAGTAAGTGCAATTTCTAGATCTTCTCCATGTGACTCGATGTTTTTGTTGCTTATTTTTCATTTTTAAAATTTTTCCATCATGCATTGCAACTAAACTGTTACATCTTGTAGATCCAGCTTTGTAAAATAATCATGAAACGACCCCGAGAACATCATGTACATTTTAGAAACATGATTGCGTGCTTTCTCCCGTTCATCTTCAAATGAAGAGTACTTCGGCTAGCCTATGCCTATGGCTACGGAAAATAAACAACAGAGACTTGCCGTAGAGAAATTAAACTTTGCTTTTACAAGAAAAGTAGACACTTTAGATAAAAGTCCTGAAAAATCTCGAGGGTGACTTTTTTAGTTTATAAAAAAGTTTTATTTTTTATTCAACGTCGTTTTGTTAATTCATACCAGGCAAAAGTTTGTTTCCATTTTAATGGGACAGACTATAAGTATAATAACTTTTAACCAGCTTACTGTGTAGTGTTTTAAATTTTTTTCAGTTTTCATTGTAAAAGCGGCGTGACGTCAGAAATATACAGTAAATGTGTATTATGACGTCACACATTATTCTTAGGGACGACGTCAGCAGTTCATCTTGCGGTTATGGCAGCACATCAACAAACAATTATCTCTCGGTGAAAATCGGTAAGTATTGCGACTTTTCTGTATACTGTAGTATATGTTTTTATACATATATATGCTTGTAGTTCTTTTCCTAGAAGAAATTGCTAGATGGTATCACACAAATATAGTGTTCAGTACTGTACAGTACTGTAGTCCTGTGTTGACGCTACCGTTAATGCGCTAACTAGTTATTTTAACATAGGCCTACTTTAGTCTCACATGATAAAAAATAAGTTAAATATAAGTCGTATTGAAACGTCGAAGAAGAAAGCTGCATTATTAGTATTTCAACGATTAGATACATCATTTATACATGTCGTTTGGTAAAATATGTCAATAATAATTTACTATGATCAGAAATTAACATATTACTTAAAGCCAAACTTATGTCACATATTATAATGTGGAGAGAAACGCCGTATACATTCTATGATAATACATGTAGATGTTTATAGTTAAATCTATTATCCATAACAAAAGTTATACATGTAGGAATTGCTTAGCAAGATGTAGATTATCATCACATAAACTTCGGATTTAAACAGGTACATATGGTGCTAATAGAATACCTCGAATGCATATGTCAGCTCTGTGCTAGTAATGAGATAGAAGATGAATTCCATTTTATATGTGTATCACTATGTGATAGATATTCTAATATACGTTCTCTTTACATTAAACAATACTACAACAGAAGATCATGTATGTTCAAACTGATTCAATTATTAAGTACTGAAAAAAAGTCTGAATTAATAGGTTTAGGTAAATATCTATATTATGCTACAAAGCATCGATTGAACTACTAAATTGTATAAATCTGGCCTTGTTATATTTAATATTGATATTGTTTATTCTATTATGAAACATTGTTTTACAGCTGTTCTTATGGAATTTTATGACAACATATTATTAAGTTTAAAATCCACTTCCTATATGCAAATGCTTTATAATAGCAAAGCCTACTTTAGTACTAAATATTGTTAATGTTCAATCTCCAAAGGCATGTTTACTGATTATTTTGATATTGTGTTTTAATTATACTATACAAATGTGTGTGAAATGACTATGCACTGAAAGTATACGTCCATATAACATGAATGTCCGACGCTACACTTTCTCTTTGTAAACCGATGTTCCCTCTTGGTGATAACCTCATGACATGATTGTATCAAAATAATGTAGTCTGAAAGAAGCATTGTCTCTAAACAATTTCCACTATGCCAGATTTACAAAGTTCACATTAAAATTAATTTATTAAATCCGATAGCTTGTGTTTTTAACATAAGGAGAAAGATGTTTTTGCCATAAATTTGAATTTGCTGGATATAAATGGCGTTAATCTGAACTAAGTACTTCTAGAATGTACAATTTTTTGGTAGATTTGTTTTAGAAAATACTTATTGTTCGAACAGATTTAGTAAGTCAGTAATTCAGAACGCAACGATAATCCATGAACTCAGTTTAAGTAATGGTTTGTTACTTCGTTTTTATCAAATCTTATTTGTTATCATGACTGTATAAATGTATATATATATATATATATATTATATATATATATATATATATATATATATATATAATACTGGTACAATATAAACCAATGTTGAAAAATAGCACAATTTTCTTTTAATAATAATTATATGCACATACACATACTGAAATAATACTTGCTTTAGAAAAAATCTTTCATAAAGAAAAACAATATTGTGAAGAATACGATTCTTAATTTCTTGGATAAAATGAAATATATACTTATCACATACCTGTGCCGATTTTGCGACTCAGTAAAAATGGTATTGCACGTGCATGCATATATTTTGGCGTGAAGTCATTTGTGTAATTGTTTTTGCAATATTGACCGGGGAATTTTTTTTTTGTTAGTTTCCGTAATTTATTATGATTTACGAAATTTTTACGCTTTAGGATTATGAATAATAGGACAGATCTCGATATTAAACCAATGAAATCTGCTCGATGGCCTAGTGGTAACTAAGTACGAAGGAATTGCGATCACGTAGTTGAAAGTTCGTACCTTAGACACACCCTTTTTGGAGTTTGTCTTTTAATGATATATTATATTCTTTTAATTATATTTTGAAGCAT